TCCTACGCAGACTTGTAGAGGGCCGTTGACACTGCGCTTATTCTCGGTTGGCTTTTGCAATAAAATTCTGGACATTCTGCCGAACGGATGAAGACCCACATTCACAGTTACCTGCAATCGACCTTTCGTCAGCAGACTCAAAATGTAACAGCATCTTTCTGGACACTAACCTTCGTTTTCTAATCCTTAACTCCTTCATCGCTATCGCGATCTCTTCCTCCAGAACCTCATTTTCTCACTTCATTTTGACATGATCTATACATATCTATATATCTATCTATGTATGCCTGCTGGACCTTACATTACCAGCCATGTTTGGAATAGGAGGAGAGCGTCGAGAAAACAAAGGAGTCTGTGCAACAGGAATGCTACAGTCAATAAAGGTACCAGTAGTACTGTTCGCTAAGCTATCAAGTTCATGGTTCGACGGACTATGAAGTGACTTGCCACTTCGTGTTTTGGTCATATTGGTTCCAAAAGTTCCCAATTCGGATGAACGTCCAGGATCTACAGGATACTTGAGATTTGAGCACCATGGATGCTGGAAACGCGACCCATGCTTGCAGTCCGCTTTTCTGTGCCCCAGGCTGATCACTCAACACCAAACCAACCAGGCCAAGGGACTAGGCTTGTGTTTATTGGATAATGGAGTTCTGGTCCAAAAACTTATAAAAAGATGCATAAAGGACTGGTAAATTCGTTGCATGTATTCCGTCTGCAGGCCAAACTGGTGTCCACATGCAGGTATACGATGAGTTGGTGCATAGTTTAGTTTTCGAACTACCAGAAAAACATAGGGCTCAGCTTTCAGGAATTGCCCTCTAACCCAATACACTCAGCAGGTAATCTGTGAGCTTCATTGTAAGCGTAACTCCAGAATAAAAACCAACCATTAGGTTATTTCAAAAACACGGATTTCAGTTGCTAGTAATCATCCCACCTAACCTGAAGCGTGTCTGAAGATTTGCCAGCAATCACGAATGAAGAACCTTTTCCCTCTTGCCTGTGGTTGTTAGGCTTATCGTGGAAATGAAGCTGAGCTTCCCACATTATGCCAGTTTGATTACTCGACCTTAGGATTCCCTCCCTTATAATTTTAGAGTTCGTTACGTTTCCCGGCCGACATATTATGCCTGGTCTTCTTCTTCTTTACTAGTGCGTGGGCCTTATTCTACCTGTGATTCATTCCATTGTGCGTTTCTATGGGAACTGTGTTACCCTTCAGAAATGACTAAGGAAAGGTTACATTTCATTCTTGCTCCCGGTAGCTTAGTTATTTGTGGGTGAAATTCCGGATCGATCTTTCTTGAAACTAACTATTGTCAATGGTTTTTGAAAGCATACACTATGATGAGCTCATTCATCACTATCAGTTATTAGTGGTATGCAACTGATTTCATCACCATTGTTGCCCTATCATTCCCAACGCATTTTAATAACCTCATTCTTGCACCAAATGATGTTTTCCATAACCTGGGTTTAAAGTGACAAAGTGCGCCGTTAAGCTCAAGTAATCGTCTTTGCACTGAGTTTATTCGGGATTATATGCCAGCACACGCTAGGATCACAAGGTCGGCTAGAAAACTGAGTGAAGAAACAAGGTTAATCGAAAGCTCAATGACGTCTCATGTTGCATCTGGATCTTTTCGGTAGAAATTATTAGCTTTTCTCTAATTGTTACTGGATTTAAGAAGCGTCCGCAATCCGTCAAATTTACAGATAGCGGTAAATTTTAAAAAAGGAAATTGTTGGTGATGACTAACGTATCTCTATACACTTATGTGTATTGAAGGGGATGACCAGCTGTAATATGTTCTTTAAGATAAGCGGTGCAAAACAAGTTGAGAAACTGTGCTACAGCTCCATGCTTGGGATGACAATTATAAAAGTCTTCCGAATTAGCCGATTCATAATCGTCCGCCGCGTTTTTAGTTAGTGTCTCGTTTTTCCTGATGATGGTGAGGTAGTTAGCCTGCAACTCGGGCTCCTTGACTAAAGTAAACGAAGAGCTTGAACCAGAGTGCACCCTAAAGAAGTGAAAATTCACGAAAAACCGAAAGAACTTAAAATGAGCATTCAGGAAGATTGGTTATAGTGCTTTAGTTCGCTTCACTTCACACATTGATTGTCTGGGCCAACTTTTCACTGACACTTCTCCATTTCCGTCTTATTACCTATGCGAATGATTCAGTTTTAAAAGCATTAGACTCTGCACTTTGCACACTGGGCTTGTTAGCCCATGTGCAGAGTCCGCAATCGGGTTGAGATCTTGAATACAGTACAGTATCTTTACGTGACGAAGCAGAAGCTCATATGGTTTGAGAGGCGTGAATCTTTTGTTTCCCACCGTATCTGCCTCTGGACTTGAAAAACAAGTTCAGAGATATTTAGTAATGCGAAGCTGCTAAGTTCGCCATCCAAATCCGCATCAACTCCGGTTGTGAGCTTTTGCACGCAACATGAAAACCCAGTGCGCTCAGGGAAAAACCCAGACCCCAGTTATTTCGAAACAGGAGCGCTGAAGAAGGTATCATGGATTAGGCAGTAAAACATGAAAATCGTAGTAATGAAAAGTTTCTCAGTGTTGCAGCAGACTTGTGTGAGTAGTCGGAATCAGGTTGCTTCGTGGTTCACTCACTTAACAGATTTATTATGTCCCTCTACCTTGTAAGTTCAGATGGTGTAACATTTATTAGTAACACGCACGGCCACAAGCAAACAGGAAGATGGAATAATCGAGCGGAGCGACACAGAATTTCACATAAGTTGCAACCGAACTTTTAAGGCGATCGAGGCCACCCAGGGTGAACATCAGAAGACACATCTGTTAACCAGCCGAAAATAGGAAAAAGAGGTGACGAATAACGGCAAAAGATAAGGTAAACTCCTGTTGAGTTTACGCATTTTGGTTATTGCTTCACAAGTGCTGACATTGACGTTCAGCATCAAGATACCCTATTCTAAGGTTTCATGTTAGGACGACCTTTAGATATTCAAGTGTGAAATTCGTTCTATCCAACTCTGGAAGGACCAATATCAGAAGAAGCCAACTGTAAAACAAACTACTTTTTTGGCCTGTGAAATCCCGTTCACTGGCCAACTCCCTCGCGGAAAGGACTGGATCACCTGGGAGACCACTTCAGTCGATCCTTTGAAACGGCTTCGCAGCAGACGGACGAGAGACTGTATCAATTTAGAGGAGGTTACCTATGGTCTATATTTTCAGACGCAACAGAGTGATAAATTTGTTCTCTCTGCAGAGGCACAAGGGGGTGGCCTGTGTTTACAATTAGTCTCCTCTAGGAAAGACGCAATCACTTGGAGAAATCACAAGCAGCCCCTTTCGTAGGGTAGTCTTTACAAAGAAGGGACATTGTGGCAGACCATGTCGTACAGGTGAAAATCGTGTCATTTGAGGGGGGACAAGCTGTCTCTAGGCCATCCAACTGATGCAAAAATACATAATGGCTCAGTGGGCAAAATTTCCATCCCGGTACCTGGAGGGTTGTCATTTATATCTATGAAGACATTGAGAGTGGTTGAAGGTGCGCAGGTGATTTCTTAGAAGTTACTACCACCGGAGCCGGGAGTTCCGGGACTTTAAATCGAGGCAGGGTGTGTGTGGGTGACAGATTACTGTAGTATGTATCTGAAATCAACTGGCAGCTAGTTTTGTTTGTTAAAATGCCAGTTTGATTTTTTTTATGTCCACATATGTAAGCCAGGCGTACTTCATAAGCATCTTACCTGCAGTGGATCTGTAGACCGTAGCTCTCAAGTGTTTAGGCAGACTGTATATCGAGACTGGGCCTTAATAAAACACTCTCTTTAGAGCACTCATCCTTGTTCATGCAGCCATGTTATCCTGGATAGTGATGGTTTGCGTGTCCGGGGCACATTTAAAGCCCTTATGAGCTCATATCAGGGGAAACTATTTAGCTATAGGTAACCAAATTTGTTATGCATTGACAGCACCCTATCCGCTGCGTCTGACAATGAATGGGATTCACGTGATCCACGTATTACTACATTGGCTTGGTCGAACAAAGTAATGCGCAGTAGAAGTGAACTCATTTCATACTAATCTCCAGAGGATGTCCGACGCGTACAAAGGCGGATGAGAAACAATAAAATTCTAAATTCTTGGTATGGATCTATTACAATTAATACCTTCATCCTCAAAAGGCAGTATATGAACTAATCTAATTGTGGGTTTATTCCGATTTCTGTGATTTTAGAAGGAATCTATGAAATTCTCGAAAAAGTGTTCTTACTATGGAGGGCGCCATATCATGTCGTATCCCTCGTAGGATGGTTTATGTGCGTTCTGTAGTAGACAGCCTGTGTTCGTTGGTACCCATTTAATGAGCAACAAATTACACCCTACGTAAAATTCTTAGCAACATTCTTTCATGAAACTATGGGTAACGATATCCACAGTCTGTGTTAGGTAACACTGTACTGAATAGTTTGAGAAATACGAATACCACAAGCACACATGTATCCCCCTTTGAGCTAGTGGAATGTGTTGCTTAGGAGATCCTCGAACTTCACTGAGTTCCTCGTATTAGATTCACTTGGTAAGTAGCTAAGAGGGATTTTCACGCTCCAATCTAGTATTTCGTTCCACCTGTTTAATCATTACTCAATAGAAATGTTAATTTACCTTCCTCATAGTTGTAACCTCTGGCTGACGGTGACCATTCCTGAAGAATCAATGTCGTACTTATGATTCGCATATCTTAAACTGACGCATGGAAATCCCAGGGACCTCGAAAAAAATGTGCATATTGTGGTCAATTATTTTTCTAATTTGTGCCACGATGTTGCGAGCCGGTCTTTTCATGAAGAGAAATCTCTTCTCGGATCATCTGGAATGACCTTTTAGGGGGCTGAAGTGTGGAGTTTTGAAGTCACCATGGGTTATATTGAAACAGCCTCAACAAGGCGGGCCAATATATAGATACATGGAGCCGGAAGTTAAAATGATGCGGAGAAAAGTATCTTCTTATAACACCCCGGTTTTCAAATCAAGTAAGTTAACTGTTGATAATCTCAACAAAGTTCTTTGTTTCTACTTATTTCTTTACAAAATACCGCGTTTGAAGAAAATATAACGCTGAAGTTAGGCGATAAGATAAAACGGAACCTGAACTTCTCTTGTAATCTGAGTGTATTTGTGAGGCAAAAATGAGAAACGAGAAAAGTACGCATCCGCCAAAGGGTGTGGGAAATTTTCGTCAGGTCCTGAATAAACTAATGCGCAGCAAAACAACAAGCGTACTTCCAGTCACTCACCAAGATCCACCAAAATCAGAGTAAATAGACTTTTCTCCTGGACGTATATTAACCTGTATTTCAAGGTATTTAAGCCATCATTGATCATTCGCATGTGGGCAGACTTGAGGAGATCCAGATGCTCATCCCGTCGAACTTTGGGTTGTTTATCGTGCGTCATCGCCGCGTATCTTGCAATAGATGGACTTATGTGAACATAGTTCAGGTTGCGTCGCCGTAACCGTCTTTCCATATCATCATCTTCTTGACCCCAACCCCAATATTTGTTCGAGAAACCGTTTACTGAGACAAACTGTTCAGTTGTCATTTTTAGTACACCACCAACGAGTTGGGGATAACTCAGCTTGAAGTTCCGTACATCTAACCCGACTCCAAGGTGGATGACATTTTTTGACACTTCCTTATCGCACCCATAAGGATTAAGATCGTTAATTGCACACATCCAAGTCGGAAGAGTTTAATAGCCTCGACAAAACCAACATTGAAAAGTTTTGCACGGTTAAATGGAGCATCATCAGCTTGCTCAACAATAAAAATACGATGGCATATTTTTTGCTTCCGTAACAGCGGTATGAGAGTGGAAAGTAGTGCAGGTACTTGATGCCATCTGTTACGCAATGGTATGATAATGGTGACAGCCGAATGGTCACTGACATCACACCTTCGATTTTGACTCACACTAGGATCTCGGTACATCCAAGAACCTCCGTTTACATGAGGTTCAAGCTCTCGTGAAAGATTTTGCAAATCTTTACTAGCCAGATCCTCTTTGGTGATAGTCAGATTTCCAACCAACTTTAGATTTCTCTCTTGTGAGGTTAAATCAACTGGCAAGTCCTTGCAAATGCTGCTACATGTTTGCTGCTTTACAGCGTACGGCGGCAGACTTGCTTGCAGCTGCTGTAGCGTTGATACAACATTGAAAGATTTACCTGAAACTGTCAGTTTTCGTTTCAATGATGCATACATGAAGACCGGCAAAAGTTTCTCCATGTTAAGAAGTGTCAAGACTATCACTGTAGTTACTATCAATATTATGATCCACTTTGACAGATGACGCATAGTCCATAACTTCTTCAGGGATAATGGTCCAAACTAAATAATCGGTGCACAAGCTGAAGTAAGAAACCACTTCAATAAATAACCAACAGCTTTTCAAGGCTTAATTTGTTACTATAGTGTTCATTTAGTGGTCGTTGTTTCAACCAATCGGAACATAACTCAAAGTGAGTTTTCGATTCTGATTGGCAAAAGCGCGAGATCTGCGGAACAGGCAGAATCCTTGCAAACCATATGAACACAAGCTCATGAGTGCATTTGCTAACAGTGAACCATGCTTCTTACTGACAGAGTTACTGAAATGTACAATGAATCAGAAAAGAAAGCAAAAACCTGGTGGTAGCTGTCGTCCTTGCGCCACAACCTAAAATTCTTTCGTCTTGTACGGAAATTTCCGCTGGTTTGAGTAAGAGTTGTAAAGTTACCGATGGTGGAACACAACATAAGTAGAGAATGGATGGTATTTGGAGGCGTTTTGCTGCTTGACATTTCTCGCATGTGTGGGTAGCAATTGAAGCAGTAAGTTATAGATAAAGTACGGACACGGAAACCAGTGTAAGATCATAAAAGGAACACTCCATATACGTCCCCAGGGGTGATACGTTGCTAAGAGACCTGGTAAATATGGTATTCAAACGGAAAAAATTATTTATCATGCTAGTTCGAACCCATACTAGCAATACACGGGTGACGATATCCTTGCTTTCGCAGTGCAAGACAAAGCATGCATGTCATTGCAAAAGATTGGCCAGTGTCATTGCATTCTATGACGCTTAGTCAGCCCTCCCGAAAACATTGTAATGCTGCAGTACTTACGACAATATAAATAGACTGCAGGCGTGATCAAGACGGGACGCCAGGTTGCTGACTGCCCCAATACCATCGACAGAAGGGAAGTCCTCAGTTGGAATTGCAAGAGCTCACAAGCAACATGAGTCAAATAACTGTGGGTTATAGGACGTATTTTCAGTCGGATCGCATTATCCCCGGCTGTGGTATAAGATGTAATATGAAGAATACGGCGAACATCAGGTGCTTTTCGACAGAATAGTTCAGACTCTTCCAGCCATTTAACATGTAGCTAGCTAAATTCCAGAACTAATTACCAATCTTGTTGGTAACAGCCTGCACTTGAACTTATCGAAGAAATTCGATTAATCAATGGTCTGTTTCACGGGATTGAAAGAAATTGCTCTAACGTGATTTACTCAAGGAAAAATATACAATGGTAGTGAAGCGGTGTGTCTGCAGCCATTGTGCAAGCTTCTGTAGTATACTAGGATTCAAAAGATCTCCCGGAGGTAAAATATTTAAATTCGTCTGACTGAATGACTGCCACTAAGGCGTTACCAACTGTCCATTGACGATGTCTCATTGAATGGTGATAAAACGTCTGTAATTCACTTGCCAACCTTGGCGAACGGATGAACAACCGCGTTATTAATTATCATATTGTTTTGTTCAAATTGAAGGGTAGCCATTCATACATAATATATAGTGCATATTGTGTGGCATCTGCTCTAGTGGATTTAATACACAGATATGGTGTACAGGTGAAGCAAAAGTGTGGAGAACCGCTCCGTCAGAAGAAATCCCACGAAAGCCCTTAACATCTAATTATAGCAGAAATCCACTAATCTGGACCCAGGCTACCTGCGATTACGGTCTAAGTGGTCTGAGTTGGGTGCTATCTAGTGGCAGGATACCCCCCATCAAATAATAGCAAATGATAGTGCTATCACACCGAATTTGGAAAACAGCACCATAATACACTGGATTTATTGTATCGAAATAATGTCATGTTCCTCACACCATGATTCGTGTATTCTCCATGTGTAGAATTTTCTAGTGTGCATTAGTTGTTATGCGGTCAGTTTGGGATGGGGAACGACGCACAAAAGAATGCGGAAAAATTGTTTCGTCAGAACTGCGCTGCATATCCCTTTTTAGATTGCCGTTCACCTAACTTGGTATAGTGAGAGGTTGAATTCCTAAGCCGGTCTATACCTCTCTCATTGTCTTCAGGATCAACCTATGTAAGAACCACGTACTTGCTGTGGTTCAAGCTGCCACAGGTTCGTTCGCCGATTATTTGGAGAGGCTGGGTAGATAGCTAAGCATCGAAGGCGGCATTTGATATAATTGATGCGTTAATACAGGGTTGTCAGCGCGCTACCAATCGCAGTGACTTGGGGGAGCTATGCGCTGAAGGATATAACTTGGATGCAAGAGCGCCAATAATGGCACGACTGGGTCATTTCTGACAACATCAATAACCACTGGTGTGTCCCATCTGAGTGTACCCATCAAGGGAGATGACAAATGACCAGCGTAACTGGGATTCCTGACAATGGCTTTCATACTTCGTTTCTAACTACTCCAAAAAGAAAAAAACTTCAACCGTCGGACATCAGATATCTGTAATGTCGACTACCCAGATCAGCCATCGTACAACATCAACGCAAGCTTCTTTGCCCGGTCGGTCAGGACAACTGTGTCGCGCGTTTGAAATGAACTCCCGTTTAAAAGGATGACAGTTCAAATTAAGCCGGAACCATAAAAGTTGGTTGGGTAACCAAATGATTTCGGCAGTGTTAGGAACATCGGCTGCTTTTGTGTGATGTTGGGCATGGATATCCAGTTGTTAGTTGCATTGAAGATAGCCTCAACACCATACGTAGGCAATCCGGATAAAAAAACGAAACTGTTTCCAGCTAAACATTTCACTGGGCTCAGGCAGACAGACCCGCCGAATAATATCGTGGTGCTTCTCTACAAGCCAATAAAGTTCAACTATTGACGATGCACTGTTGTGCCCTCAGTTCTGGGATGATAGGCTCACCGGTCTGAGTAATCAGCCAGTCGCCCTCACTCGAGCGCTGAAGCAAACAAGAGCTTCTTTAATACGTCGATTACGGCGTGTGTCAAGCGAAAACGCCGAAATGTCGCCTCTCTTTTTGAATCACCAGCACCCACAGTTCAGTATGGTTAAGATACTTGTTGCTACAAGCGCACCATAAGCTAATCCACTCACTGGATTACTCAGTAAACGCAGAAAATAGACCCAGTACTACCGAAACCAGCCTCCAAACGCATGTTCCGACGAGTGTCGTCTTGCAGTGACATTATCAGCTCAGTCAACCGATTCTTATCGGTTGATCGATAACAGATGCAAGTCTTCCGTCAACATGCGTCAACTGGTATATTTTGCATGTTGAAGCCATTCGAACTGCCAAAAGAAATTACAAAACCAAACGGAATTTTCCGTGATTCGGTTTTTAACCAACTTCTTTCACCCAGGTGATTCGGTAGTGAGAGCAACGCTGCATGCTAATAGTGACATTTAATGATCAGACTAACTGCAGGGATTTACGTTATGGAACCTGTATCCCGAATGCAGGTAGACGTATTCTATGATTAAGTTTCAGTCGACTAACAGCTCTTACTATAGGAGTTGAGAGAGTTTATACAGAGGATTATATTGACAAGGCAACTACCTCCTCTGCACGGAAATTTTATTCTCGAGAATCAACTTCTCCATTTTCATCTGATAAAACTTTCAGGGTTAGAAATGCTGAAGGTGTATGCCAATAAGGTTTTCGCGAATTACAGTTCGGAAAGTTTTTGAAGCAGAAATTGCGGTCTTTTGAGATTCATTATCATTTTAACACTAAATTTTCGGAATTGCGCTATTGTTTATTGGTTAGAGAAACCGTTCGTGCAAGCGCATGAGTGACGAAAGACAAATATGGCGTTATGAAAGTGGCATGTAGTGCGTGTCGTACGTTTGGGTGCTAGTGAAGTTGGAGTTGCACCGCTTTTGTGATAGCCAGTCAAATGTTCACTAAAATATGAATTTCCTGAAGAATTGCTTCGTAGCCGTTTATTCCATCCATCATCGTACGGAGTTGAAATTTTATTCATCTCTTGTGATGACCGCCATACGTGGATTCGGTGAGTCAGGCAGATTGACTTTGTTAGTGGAAAACTAACTGACTGACTGTGAGATCTAGGCGCCTAAAGTCATATCCACACTCCAAGTCATGGTAAAGTAAAAGGAAACGACAGATTCAGTTGAGTCTCCCATGAAAACCAAATTGATTTGCAAATGAGATCAGTCCAATTTGGCATCAAGTAAAACATAATTTTAACGGAAACTCAGGGATTGTGCCTACCAGATGATCCCCAAGAAGGGCGAAACCGGTCTTGGTCTGTTTAAGAGTTTTCCGCAACCCTGTGAGTAGTTTTCTTTATGGAAATATACTGCGATATCTCGAATATCATACCAACCGAAACATGAGGTGGCCTTTGTGCAGCATATTCAGTCGTAAACGAGAGATTCAGTTGAGTCTCCTGTGAAAACCAAATGGCGTTGAAAATGAGTGTATTTGTGGAAGCCTATTGATTTTTTGTTCCCACACTTTTGGGCGGCAATTTTTGGCTAACTGAGACCGAAGGTAAGTCATACTGGAAAAAATGAATATACCCCCATCAAGATCATGACCATACACGACCGATCCAATAACCCTAGCTTTATCATTTTCGGTTTCATCCACGAAGCCAGTGGTACAATAACTTTAGTCAAATTCTAGCTATGATCTGGCCCCATTCTATTCATAACTCAACCATTAAACATGACACTACTAACGGTCCCCAAGGGTCACAAGGAACAATTTATTCACCCTTTATTCACACCATTTGACAATTTTACCGTAGTGTGCCTTCGGTCAATCAGGCATGCCGGAGAATGTCCGGTTTAAACATCGTTAATGTTTGCGATAACTGGCGATTAGAAATGATTAGAGTCAGCTTCACGTGTTCTGACTAGTCAGGCCCATAAGGTGTTTTCACGGAGGTTCCTACCTGGGCCTATTACAACTTCTCACTTGGTTATCGTCCAGAATTGAGTGAACAGCAGCCATCGATATTAGGATTGGCACCATCGGAAGGTGGCTGCTTTTACAATTAACGTGTAGGTTTGCTTCCGTGTACTTCCAAAATCAGTGGGAGAATACGTGCTGAATGGAGTAGCTCAGGCATTACTTTTGATCGCATTATTAGAACCCTGGCGGTGGCGAGCATTCTTTCATTTTGGGCTAGCCGATTCCATGTCGGAACGTGTGAATAAAATCAGCAGTAAATAATTCCAGAAAACTACTCTGCAGCAGAGATTGTGTGCACTTAACACGTTATATCCTGTTCGATACACGGAAGTTGTCCGTTGACAACAATATACTAAAACGCTCCGCATATTAATTGAAGGATACGTAGAACGCTAGCTCTAACCCTTATTTATCGACTTTATGACAGCAATGCCACCGAAATCCATCTGCATAGAGTGGCTCCCAGGTAACATGCCCTCCAACAGTGGGTGTTGGGATAACGTAATGCAGCCAGCATACGGGGAAGGGAAACATATTTTGGTAGATGCATAGTGGTCTCCAAACTGTAAAACTTTACACGAGACTACCTCTGAAATATCCTGATCCTCCACCTAACAGACTATCTGCTCTCGGCTGTCAACAAGGTCACCTAATTTGGGAGCTCTGTATGCCCCTATTATTACGCCATGGATGATGACTTCCGTAGGATAGGGAAAGCCTCCCAAACGTTTGCGGCAGTCGCTCCTCCTATCTTCTAATCGACTCTGCCGTCGAAAAGCACCAACCAGTGACAAGGAATTTGATGCTTGTGTTCGATCGAAAAACAGACTCAAAACCGGTCTGTATATGTCCTTAATTTGAACTCTAGTGCCTCCGCCAAATAACTACTGTCAGGCTAACAGCTCGGATGACCAGTACAAACGTGCAAACGGGTTACAGACCAGATACACGCTCCATGAAAGACCTACTGAGAATTCCACTATACTCCGGATAAATTAAGCTCTTCGAATTTCGCGAAGGCTACTACTTGATCAAACGTCGTCTGGGAGGCCTCGGTCAATTTGGAAATAGGAGAGTGGTGGTCAGCTGAATACAAGACACCGAGTCGCTAATTTTCTGGCTACACTATTTAGCAAGGTTAAAAAGTGTCGTTTATCCGGTTCGGGAGTGGTTGCTAATCAACCACTGAAGACACTACTTTAGGGCAACATGCTACCTCTATTAGCGGACATGTTTCTCTAAATGGAATAACCTACTCTAACTAGCTTCACCCTCCAGTGTTACGTGCAATAACCTTAATCTTCAGTTTGCACACCTTATCTCCCACCCTACCTTTTGATTTTTTACACTATAACCACCTCAAAAACAGCAGGTGACGTTCATTGAAAGGAACGGAGTAAGAATGCGAATGGTGATGGTGATGAGGAGACTGGGTGAAAGTTTAACTTATGTGAAGTCACCATTAACCACAGGTGGTGACAGGTGACCTTTGTGACGGAAATCTGTCAGGTTTTGGGAGCGTGCAAGAAAGAACCTATGAATCACTAAGTGGTAAGACTCTGTGACATTTATGGACAGAGGATTTTGGAGGTCAGTTTGAGCTCTGGTGGCTGACTGAGCAGGAACATAAGTATTCTGGTCACCAGAATGTGACATTTAATGACCTGGGTCTTAAGGACCTGAAAACCACAAAGTTAAATTTTTAAACTTCTCCATCAGTGACCACCTTACCCAAGGCTTTTGGGCAACTGTTTATCGATTATTTAAATGAATCTCGATGTGTGTCAAAAGAACATTCGTAGACAATAGATAAAACTGCCTATGAGTTTGACTCCTGAAGTCTGCACGGCTGTTTCTGTTACCGAAACCCGACCGGTACCGCGAAATGGGCGGATAGATGGTTCGATTCGAACAGAAGCATGTCTATCACAATTTCTTCTGTACTGTACTGTCATGTGTCACCAAGCGACAATAGACAAAAGGCCTCTAGTGCGGGTCATCCGGATCTGAAACAGTACACGAACGGTGCTCAACAATGACACAAAAAAGCGTCCGATAATGACAACCAAAGAACCAATAGGACAGAAAATCAAAGGGGTGCAGTAAGTGATTGGATAGAACATGCAAACGATCGCCGGTTCAATAGAACCCACTGGCTTAGAGCACGAATAGGCAAATAAGCCAGACAGTTGATAAATCCTATTGACGCAGGCCTTGGGCTGAAGCCAAGTGACTAAACTAGGGCCAGTTGTACTCACGAATGTGCAACTAAACCATAAAACAAACATACCATTCAATGAGGCATAAAATTCATTGATAAATAAGTTTATGGTGAAGTGGTTAGAATCCATTTTTCCAATTTGAATCAGGTTAAACAGAACAGAACAAAGAACACTTTTTTGAGACACGTCTACCTTACCTGTTTTTCATTTTATAGGTCATTCTATCAACTCCTGAAGACTTCAGAATTTTCATGAAACCCGGACAATTTTAAACTACATCTACACGGGTCAAATCCCGAAGACCAGTTAAAACCACTCGAACATCACATAAGGACCAAATGTGTTGCTCATAACAGTACAGAGAACCACAGTAGGTGTTTGTCTCACCTACTGTGTCATACAAGAGGCATAGAATTGCCAGTGCAAGTGGGCGTACTTATTTGTCGGGTGGGAAGAAAGCTGGTGCGGCCCGAAATAGCCGCTGTAGTCTGTGGAGTTTGTATAGTGTGGAATGTCACTTTTTGTAGAGGTTTTGAAGCATATCAAACGGTACATTAGGATCCATTTGCATCATCAAGCCCTCCACGGCCATCCGAATGGGAAACACATCTGTGCGTTGAGTATAACCCATATTCTATATAGGAAATTGAGTGATCAAGTGATTTTTGGTGTGAAGTGAGACAAAGCCGTTCAACGCTTGACAGCCAGGTCCTTTAAAACTATGCAACTGATTTTCAGCTCACGATAGAAGAAGCTTCTATCCTCTTCCAAGTAAAGTTTACCGGAACCTGTATTCGAAATAATGCCGAAACACTTGTGAATACCACTGCCTAGATGACGCAAAAAATAAAGGGGTTGTCGTATGATGCCAGTGCTCTTTATGTGATGCACAGCTAATGTTCGTATTGATGTCCTCATGCTTAGCCCGGCTGATGCCAGCCAACATACCCCGGCGAGTTTGCTTACTGATCTTGTCCAAAGGTATGAAGCGGATTCACATGCTCACATCTAGTAGCGCACACGGCTCTGCATAAATCGTTTGTTATCATAAGCATCTGCAGGCATCCAGTCATCTAACAACTACTCCCAAGGCTGTCCTGGTCGGATGGCAGCTAACCAATGGTGAGGCCAAGAATGCCTAACGGATCCCATTCATCGTATAAACTCATAAGTGCGCCATCCTAAAACAGGAGATTCAGCTGGATTCGGTTGAGCCTCCTGTCAAAACCAAGTTAGTACATAGATGAGTATTTGTAGGAGTCACTCATTTTCACGCAGGATCTATGTTCAAAAACCCAACAGACTGACAATTTTTTGAGGCAGTGTAATCAGAGGAGAGGAAAGAAGGAGCTGGGAAAAATATGATAGGGCTATTTAGGTACTTTTGAAGAGAATAGTCTAAGTCAAGATTATTGTTTTTTCCTAAGAAATGGACGTCTGCCACCTTAAGTTTCTTCACCATCCCACAAAAAAATATTTTACCTCACTTGGGACCTTGAACGGAGGAAGAAAGGTTTTTGAGAGTCGAGGAGAATTGTTGAAGATGCTTAAAAACACAGAAATGTCAATGCGTGGTTTATTTGCTGTTTAGTTGACAAATACTGAAGGCGTCACTGCCCGAGCCACATTCAGGTTACTGTCTGGAATGCAACTGCTGATGATTTCCTCAAAACGAAGCTGAATACTACTTGTGACCTCGTTATCCAAATGAACGGTAGGGACCACAAAGCAATATACTCGAAAACGAAAATGATGAAATCGGGACCTCCGAAGACACCATTTTGTGCGGAACTACCTTAGAAGTCACGAAAAACGACTGGGTTGGAGGGTAGTGAGTGGATGGGCGGGTGACAGGATCAGGAATCTAAAGACAATATTTCATCCTTTCAAGGAAACTAGTGCCCGGTGGAAAGCTAGCTCAGTCAGGAATGAGCACTTCACTTTGGTCAGAGTATACTTCTAGCTTCCGTTGCAATAGTCACCCATGGATTTTTTAAAATAGTATCCTAGGCCTGTTGTTCATTAGTAAGTCATCCCCGTTCAGCTTAGTTGGGCTACCTTTCCTAATGGTGATAGTCCATTTGCTGAATTTGGGTAGCGGTAGAATGTAGTCCGCCAGTTGGGTGAAATGACGATCGTAGCACATCTTTTGGAAATACTCTGTGACAAATACGACCGCCAAAGCTTTCTTCTCAATCATGATGTTATTGCACTCAGTAGCAGATATGTGGCTGTTGTCGAGGAATGCCAAAGAGATCGCCGCACCCAGGCCGTAGTTCGAAAGATCTGGCAACACAAGGATTGCCATCGAAAAACCTCAATGAGTGGGACCAGAGGCCAGTATGGATATAACACTGGAAGACAGTTAAGTAGACGGCTGATCATACTCACTTCTGGTCCTTGACAAGGAGCCGGTTTAATGAGCTTAAGCTTTGAAACATGGCCGTATTGTTCAAAAAGATAAAGTTTTGAGGATGTTACACACGTAGGTACCTGTATTGGTTTGGTGACATCGAAGATCTCGGTGTCTTGTAGGTGGTCGTGTCCCATACTAAAGAAACCAAAACAATCTAGTAACCGCACGAAAAGAACACACTTTTCTCGGCCTGAACACGAGCGAGGGCACAATATGGTCGCTGTCACATCTCGCGGCAGAAACAGTAAAACAGTCCCAATAAGCAGCAGTACCAGGAGCATCCTTCAAAAATAGACCCGTGATTCTTTGAAAGACGCTATACTGTAGCTAATTGTTAGGCGTGCACTCGCCATGGCGTAATAGGAATCAGGTTGCGTACTCCAGAAGAAGCGGCATAGGCGTGACATCAGCTTCTCTGTCAAGGGTCGAGTTTGCAATGCTGCCATGCTATCCATATTGCTGTACAGGTCACAAACGTGATCGCGACGCGCCGAGGACGTCAAAAAACTCAGTGTTTGACCATCGATGTCTTTGGAGCATTGCCCGAGTCTGGTGGAAACATTTGATCTGCAATTTTGAAATACGTTGAATGGTATCTGGAAGAAATAACTCGCCTACGATAGATAAAGCGGTCACACTGCATTGGTTGAGCTGGCTTGGCCACGTGCTGCGTACACCAGTCAACTGACTTCCCCGAAAGGTTCTTTTCACGTAACCACGTGAAGGGAGGAAACAAGTCAGAGGCGGTAAACAATGACTTGGCAGCGAAGTATTAAAGCCATTACCAGTAAACTCAGCTGCGCTGATCATTGCCGTCTCCCTGGATAGTACCTCCGAGACGGGCCACATCAATGACTGTATACATTGTCAGACATGGTCCTGTCGCGACCTCCGTGACGCTCGTGCGTCCAAGCTATTGCCTTCAATGCATGTCTCGCTTCCCAATCCCTCCATTTAAAAATTCACTGACAGACCTGTATTAGCCTACTAATTTATCAGCTCTCGCCTCTAATGCGTAGCTACCAACTCCACCTCCCCAAATCACTGATGAACGAAATTGTGTCAGTCATAACCTCTGTACGGTAATACACGATGATACACGACGATATTGATGATTATGATGATAATGATGATGTAGCTGAGTGTACTGAGTGTACTATACAGTGTGTGCTGATAGTTTTTGGAGCTCTTTGAAGCTCTTTGGATTTTTCCGAAATTTCTATCTACGGGTGCCCTCAAACAACTCAGTTTCAGCAGAACCTTTACCCAGTTGCAGTTTCGCAAAACAGTTCACCTGGAAGAAGTAATGGGCTATTTGCTCTCAGTGAAGCAGTGAGACTGCGTACAAACGTTTGGTTCTTTGGCCTTCTTGTCTATTGTGCTGCTGGCCCATAATGGGTTGACACTCGGTTGATGAACGTCGCCTTTCTGCACGCTTCCTATTCCAAGTTTGAAGTAGATAATTGTTCTTGTGGATCTGAGTATTTCGGTTGAAAGTTGGTCTAGCATTCGGCTTTCGTGCATCGTCCGAGTGTGTTGGCAAATATGGATGCATGGCATTGTAGGATCCCACCCAAAATCTTCTACTGGTCCTCAACCTTTTCGATGATCCATGCTAGAACCTTAGATGGGAGTCCTCAAATCTACCAATGTCCCCTCCTGAAAGAAGGACGTACAGAGAGTCACTAAACTTTAACTGAAATGACCTCCGGGTGATATCGCATATTGTATTTGTTGATTTCTAATGTGCTATAGCTTCCCGATCCCATCCAGCGCCCTAAATTGGCAAGTAGCTAGACCCTTCGATGCACGTAAGCTGAGTCAACACTGGTCAATTTCACATTGTCCCTGGAGGGCCCACATTTTACTGTAGCTAGTCAAGCTGTTCCTAACACTTTTCGCTGAGATTCATAACATTGGAAGAAGCACAAGAAAGTAGGTGCATTAGAAGTGTTGTCGATTTTCATGGTAAAAAACTCCTCCGGTAAACAACCTATGCTTCGAATGTCACCATTAATCGGTTGAAACATGATTACTGGGTCACCTGCCGGTGTTAAGGCAGTTGCGACTTCTGAGTTCCGAAGAACTTATATTTAGAGCAATTATGACCTTTAACCGACAGCATAATATCGCCGAAGTACCAGCAAAGTATTTGCTGTAGCCTTGAATTGACTTATTTAGTCTCCCCTGGAAGAAGGACCTGACCGCGTACAAACAGGTGATGGGAGTGACAGGTGATTGACCAGTCATAGCCCTGTCATGTGTCATTTGGATAAGGCGTTGACATTCTGTGATGAGGCTGTGTATCTTCAAATCCGTCTTACACCTGTACGATCAGATGGCTAGAGACCTGACAGATACGAGGTATCTGGGTTCTGAGTATTGAGGTTGGATTGAAACGTTAGCTTTTTCGTTTGGAAACAACTTACGGAAGAAAACCACCACTGACTTTATCCAACAACTTGAGGCACCGGCATCGGATTCTGAATAGAGGTGTTCGGTCTGCGAATAGATCCGACAGCTTGGAATTTTTCTGAAAGCTGATGACACGGGGCGACCTGAGTGGGATGAATTTCGCAGGTGGCTGGCAAGCCAATGTGCCGAGTTTTCGCGAAAACAGTGCGACTTCTCATCTGTCGTCATAAGTGATAAAATCACCGCTAAACAATGGGAATTCAAATGTCGGGGCGGAAGGTTGGTAAAATTTTGACTCCAGACTGAGACAGTGGCAATACCATCAGAAGAACCAAATGGATGATCCTAACTGGACTCTCGAACTCTGAGTGGGTGAGATTGATTTCATCTGGCTGCTGATGCGAGTTCCATTCTGCCAATGGGGATAACTGTAACTTCTCAGTTAATCTGCACTTCCGGTACTCGCCGGCTTGTGCTCCAAGCACAACAACCACCAAAGGTACATTGCATTAAAAGCCCATACTAGGGAAACAGTAAGTACAGTCATAACAAACAGATAGATAGGTACCCCTACATTAACGTCCTAATGTAGGTAAAGCGTGGGTTGCGAGAACATACCGGAAATTCAAACGCTCTCCAGACGCGCCATGGGTGATTGGCGCACTGGGGATACTGGGATTGGATTGGCTGTTAGATCTATATGGCTGGCCAATCGGAGCACGCTTGATGCTGAATCAAGCACCACACCTCGCATCGATCAGTCACGTGCAAGTTAACCTTGTCAGGTGCTGCAGCCCCAAACTGCATGCATTGAGGTTTAGGTGGAAGATGCTCTTTAACAAAGCTAGCCTTTCAGTTAACTCCTCTGGCATCTGTTTTTGAGTGGACCTGCTATGGTAAGTTGAGGAGAACTGAGTGATATTGTCCATAAGGGAAACGAAATTTAACGAAGCAAAACAACTGGTATACTCTACTGCACGCTCTCTGTTTGTGTGGGACTCATGCACCAACCTGAACTGTGCGCTCAAAACCATAAACAGAGAGAGCAACAGATGTGTAGTAAGACTAACTGATGCGGTGGAATGTTGACGGTTATGGTAGAAGTTTTGTCGTCAGTATCGATTTACAGAGGTAAGATAGACTGAGAGGCTGTGCCGTGCGGAGAGACTGAGTTTAGTATCTAAAAATGAGCTTGCTCGCAGGTTGTGGTTTTAATGAGATGACAAGAGATGAATGCACTGTCGTTGTTCAGCTGACACGTTTCTACCTGAAACGGTTTGTTTAATTGGAAGACGGCGAAATCGGTCAAGACTAATTAAGATCCCACCAAATTGCTACTTATTCGTTAACATCAGTATGGTCATCGTGAATTTTTGTTGAACATATAGAATTCGTAGGCTACACAGAAGTCAAAAATAGCACAGTTTTGCTCCTCATACAGGGGAGGTAACAACACCAGGCCCATAACATTCCTAAAGCTGTGATAGAGGGCCACAAGTGATGAACTGCAGACTTTGTCAATCATTTGTCTAAGAGTCTTGCATTTCGGTGGCCCGCAAAACGTAGTACTGTGATACTTCAGCCCGGAATGCTATATTCTCGCAAAAATCCGTCCCTTAGACACTTTGTCCCGAGTTATCCCATGACGAAAGTGTAAACACAAAAGAATTCTTCGTGCATCGGTTTTTGCAGTTTTGCAACCAGTCCAGCTGAAACCATATTATGTCTGTTCATGCACATAAATCTACTAGCACCTCGTCCACATCCAACTTCCAGAAAAGAAGCACTCCACAGTAAAGAGTGAAGTGTAGTGTTAAGTAGTTATGCAAACATATACGAATCCGTTTTCTATGCGGAAAGTCACTTGAATGTGGAACAAAGTTCAAATACACTTTTCACAGGTTGCAACAAAGCTTTGAAGCTTTCTCTCACAAATAGACCTTGGGCTACCTGTTTAGGTTCGCTCACAAAGCCATAAGGCTGAGGTCAAATGGGAAGTACGACTGAGGGGAAGTTTGATCTTCAGAAATAACTGAGCAACTGGAGAGAAGTACGAAAATGTAGGCAACCAGTCAGGGTTTGGATTGGTTTCCGTTTAGAAATGTTCGTAGAATTAAAAGTGATGGACGGAGAACAGTGTTTTAACTTTGATGGTGCACTAAGCAGGGGGGAGGGTGAGCCCGTTCTAACAGAACTGACATACACAAGGATTAAATCATCTATGAAGCTCATTCAAACTGCGTATAGTGTTTAATCCCTCCTAGATGCCTCATCATTTTCTTTGCATAACTTGAATATATATGGATTTCTCGGGACAATTCCTGGTCTCTAATTTTCTTTCAAAATCCCACTATTACACACATTCCATTCAACTTACACCGCTTTCGACCAGCTGGATCAAAAGCTTGACTATATGAATCAAAATATTTAGACAGAGCTGTACAAAAGTAACCCAGAATAGAAACTAACCATAGCGAGAAGTTAGGAAATTTATTCATCTTGAAAGCAACAGGTACTAGGGGACAAGCGAAACGTACCATTTTGTATAGTATTCCAAACAGTAACTGGAATTCTTCTTTATGGTTGTTAGAGTGTTCAGTGATATTTTCCCTCTAAGGCCACTGAAAAGTCTCACAAAGCAGGAGAGCACGGTTTGTTTCCATTTTGACAGCATCTGTTTGGAAAGTTGGGAGGTCAGAATTTCTCTCTTCATATACATC